TTCGATTAAGGCTTCATGTAGCCAGTCTGCCTCATGACTTTGTGCGCCTTCGTTCTTCATCGGTACACTCACTCCACAATCTCATCCTGTCGCTCGTTCTCTTCTTACTCTCCTCCCGCTCTACCTCCCTTCATCATTTCCTTTTTCTTCTTGCGAGCCCTCACAGTCTTATAGTAAAAGGAATTGCCTTGAACATCATGTTCTAGCAGTGACTGAAGTCCGTTGCTTCAGGGAGAACGTTTGTCATGAAGCTACTCGAAAAAGGCGCTCGCACATCAGGAAGTCGCGTGCTTCTGCCTACGAACGTCCCACATATGGTGCAGCTCCACCAGTTTTTCGAGACAGAAACTTTCATTATTCTGGTGCTTGATTATGTTGAGTGCGGCATGTTATGGGATTTTCTGGTAAGATTTCAGAGCATGTTTCACATCAAACTGAGGTTAATTCTATGCTTTTCCAGATACGTTACTTCAGTGAGTCGGAGAGGCGATTTCTGCTCACATTAGCAGCGAGTGGTGCAGAAGTGAGCTGTGATGTTGAAGCTCAACAAACAAAATTGGATTCGATGGATTGCTATCGAGGTTTGAAATCAATTGTAAGTTAAAACATGATGTTTACAAACTTTTAGCGGATTCTAGGCCGTCGGCTTCACTTTTCTGTTGGAGTTGATTTCGAGAGAGTTGCTGAAATGCGTGACGAGACGCATAGTGTGAGCACTAGAACAAAAATTTGTTTTTTTTTTAAGACTTTGCAATGTCTGAGTTTAGTTTATGGTTTCAGAACGATGTTCCTTCCGTGTCTGGAGTCTGTACCATGGGTGAGGATGCCACAGGAGCTTCCAGAGCTCCAGAAGGTGCGACTGTATTCTCGTCTTATGAGCTCGTTTTTGTGTAAAACTAAGTCATCAATTTTGCTTATCACTCCGTGCTTTTCAATGGCCGAAGATACGTCATAGATTTGCTTTAGGTGATTTCTACGTGATTGAAGATACCGGCGTTGAGCGATTATCAATACATGATGAAGAATCACCTGCCACAGTTAAGTTGCCTTGTCGGCAGTGATGATAAATCAAGTGACGGTGAGTGTCGGTTTTCTTATTTCTGAATAGCTTGTACAGCTTATAAAAGCTTGATTTCGACATGCGCAAACGAGCAAAAAATAAAAAAGGGTTGGGTTACACATCACTTTACTCAAATTTTCAGTTTTTCTTTGGATGGCGTCTGAGCTGAAGTTTGTAATAAGTTTCGTGGTGCTATGTTTTGGAACCTATTTGCTTTCTTCGGATGGGGTTGCTTTTTAACTATGTCGACTTCCTTTATTTACTTGTGGAATGCCTCAGCGTTGTGTCCTATGCGACCAAGTTTTACTGTTTGGTCGTGTTAGCATATGCGCCACACGAAGCAGTTTCTTGGCTACCAAGAAAGCGAAGTTTGGCGCTCCGCGAAAGCACGAAAGGTGCGCTGATTGGGGAGTAAGGCTTCGAAAGGCCCCCAAAAGCGATCCGCCCACTAGTTTACTTGTTGATTTGGACGAGCTGCGTGGCCAGCAGCGGCGCAAATGGAGCATCTCGATTCAAAGCTTGTGTTGGCAATGGTGCCGTCAAACGCGTTGCGGTGAACTCGTTCATATCTCCATTTTCTGAGCCGTTAGGCTGGTGTCAGAGTCCGCGATCGTCGCTGATTTGCGCGATTTGCGCGATTCACGCGACGGGTCACGGAAATCACAAGTGCCCGATCAATACTGCAAGGTGTTCTCCAATCCTGCCGCCACTTCTGCTTGATAGTGATGGCTGAATGACGACTGCTCATGATTCCACTTGTTTCATATTCAGTGTTTCAAATGTTCAAATGGGCACTTGCAATTTTGCGATCCGTCGCAGGGGTCGCGAAAATCAGCGAAACGGATTCCGGACTCTGACACCAGCCATACCTCTTGATGAGTGAAAACCAACGGCCAAACAAGCGGGTCCCATTTTGCATTTCTTCCTTGGATTTTTCGTAATCGCTGCCTTCACGCCTTTATCGGTATTGGAGTGATTTTGGAAAGCTCTGATTCTATCGAAACGAATTTTTTAAAGTTGGAATTTTAACTGTTGACATGCACGAAAGTAAGAAATCGCAGTTGTCATTTTTTCCAGAATCAGCCAGTCAAACGTTGCTGGACTGTATATCCAATGTGCGTTTTTACCTCCGCAGAGAAAGAAGGCGAGCATGGCCAGGACGTCGTCCGCTTCCGGAACCATTAATTGTTCACTGGACAGCGCAGATCGTCAGTTGGTTGTATGTTATGCATACTGAACACGGAGAGGCAATCGGGTCAGTTGAATTTCTCTTTGAGTCGTGTTCTCTCGAAGAATAAGCACCAAAATTCTTGGAGTTCTTCTGGGATACATGGCGCACTAGTTATATTCGGATTCGCGATAAAATGTTAAGATTATAAGGTTCACCCACACTAAGCACTAGAGGCTAAGTCATTTCCTGGCCCGTTTTCGTCTCTCCTCATAAGTCAGGTTGTTAACAACGAACTCCGGGGGAGAGGGAGATCGTGATTGAGCAGTTCCACTGAGGATACGTGCGTGTGCCAGTAGCTTTTCTTAAATGCAACATTTCCGGACCCATGGAACTCTGGGCAGATCTAAACTGAAATAAGCAGTTATGGTTGATGATGGCTTGCTGTAATTTTGGCTTTCCAGCATCAAATCGCATTAAGACATTTGTTGTGAAATTTGATTGAAATGAATAGCAGGGTATTAACGGAATCTGACTGGGTTTTGTAGAGTCAAAACGTTCTAATTCATGTCGTGGTTTCTCGTGATTTCATTTGTTTGAGGAGAGTTGCATTTTTAGTGATCTGCGTCCTGACAATTTGCTGATTGACATGGATGGTAACCTGCAGATGACGTACTATGGTAAATGGCATAATAACGGTAAACCGAAAGACATTGTAGAAGGCTATAGTGCTCCAGGTGAGTTTATTACGGATAGAGCGCTCTCTTAGGGACGCGATATAAAGGTGTTGTGTGGGATCTTTAAGTCATTTTTTCAACTATTTTTGTTCAAGAATGTTTCGAATATGGATGGATT